GACCAGGGTAGTGGCTGGGCTGGTGGTGAGCTGAGGTCACTGTTTGGTGGCATCTTTGAAGGCTGAGTCAATAGAATTTGTTGGAAGATTTGATTTGTGATGTGACAAGAGTTAAGGGTGGTTTAGCCAGGTTTTGGGTCTGAGTGGCTAGGAGGATAGCGTTGCCAATTACTGACTTTAGAGCAGGGAGATAGGACGTTTACTTCTGGAAATGTTAAGTTGGAGGGCTTAGGGAATGTCCACCTGGGAAGGCAATGGAGTTGACAAGAGAGGAGTCCATGGAGGAAGCTGGGGCCAGAGATCAATGATTGTGAAGACACTCAAACTCAAGGGATGAACTTACCATGCTGCAGAGGGTAGATGCAGAAGAGAGGAGTCAATGGACCAGGTCCTGTGGCTCTGCCATGTATGCAAGTTATACAGATCAAGGGATATGAGGAAGGGAGAATGAGGAGGGGAGACCACGGAGGAAAGAGGAGAGCCAGAAGAGAAAGATGTTCCAGAAGCTAAATAAAGAACTTATTTCAAGAAGGAAGGAGAAATAAGCTGGGTCAGTATCTGCTGAAGCAGCAAGGAAGGAGTGGGCATCTTCACCATTGGCTTCAGCAACATGGGGTCTCTAGAGACCTCAAGAGCCTGATTGGATCCTGCTCAAGAAGGAGCAAGAATGGAAGGAGAGGAATTGGAGACATCTCTTGTAGTCAACCTTTTGGAGCATTTTGCTATAAAGGGTAATGAAGTGATGGGGTATTAGCCAGAGTGGGATGTGGCATCAGAGGATTTTTATTAAGGATGGGAGATAAGAAGGCAGCTTGCTGTCTTGTTGGTGGGAATGATCTAGTGATGTGGGGAAACTGATATGGAAAGAGGAGAGGACAGTTGTAGAGGCAGTTCTAGCAGAGGCAAGAGGGGTTAGGATAAGGTGCACGAGTGGAGAGTTTGCTCCTAGGTAAGACCACAGGCAGCTTCTCCGTAGCACCTGGAGGAAGATGGACCACGTGTGCACAGACGCCAGTCAGGGGTGGGAGGTTCACTGCATCTGAGTCCGGTTCAGGTGACTCAGTGACCGCAGTGTGGCTTTATGGTGGCTCCAGTCATTTGTGCTTGTAGAATTTATGGCCCACGAAAACCTTTATATACGAATTGCTGTGGCCCTTCAGCCATCTCTGCTGGTGGTTATATAGTTTCGAATCTTAAAATTGCACATTGGCAGTAGTTGAATGAGTAGCTAACTTGCATTGAAGGTTTCAATAACTCTCATTTATTGCATCCTCTGCATAATCTCATTTAAACCTCTCACTAGACCTATGAAGTGGGAAGTATTTCTAGCCTCCAGTTAACAACTGAGGACACTGAACCTCAGAGAAACTGAAGAACTTGGTCAGGGTCATGCACTGACTTAACTTACTGCTTTCTAATGGTGCAGTTCCTTCCTTATCCACAGGCTGTCCTGCTTTGTGGAAGGATTTGGACCTGTGAGGTTTGTAATGTCTGAATACAGTAACTTAACACTGGTATAACTTAATTTGCTTGTATGATTGTAATCTGAGATGAAAATACTTTTGATGGCGTTGAGCTTTCCCCGACACCCCCTCCCACCTTTTTTTTTTTGCTTTCCAAAGAGCAAAGTGAAGAGCCTTCCCAATTTAGGAGCCTTTTACAGAAATTTTTGAAACTACACTGTAGGCAAAATTGGTTGTCTGGCTGCGGGTAGACAGAACGTGGTCATTCTTGTGGTAGTTTCCCTTTATAAGTCAGATCTTAAATTAGAAATCGACAGCAAGAGGTTCCCTCCATTCTGAAGTGAATAAGAGGATAGCAGCATGGTCCTCAGTGTCAAAATGACCAAAATTGAATTTCCCCCTTGGCTTCTTGCTTGTAATGTGTCAGGCCTCCCAGGCCTGCCTTTTCATTGATAAACTAGGGATAATAACACCCACCTGCTGCAATTGCTGTGAGAATTAGTGATGGTATATATTTTTTAAAATATTTTATTTATTTATTTGACAGAGAGGGAGTTAGAGAACACAAGCAGGGGGAGCAGGAGAAAGGGAGGGAGGAGTTAGGCTCCCTGGTAGCAGGGCGCCAGACTCGGGGCTCGATGCCAGGACCCTGGGATCATGACCGGAGCCAAAGGCAGACTCTTAACCGACTGAGCTACCCGGGTGCCGTAGAGATGGCATATTCTTGATCACAGAGCACAGTGCCCAGCATTTGTCCTGCCAATAAGTGGCAGGTGGCCTGGTAGCTCCTTTGTCAGTTCTGCTAACTACTGTCCAGGGGGTGGCAGCCTGAGGGGTTACTATCTACATCTTTTCCTTTGGTTACGGTAATTCCTAATTGGAAAATCACTCATTCTGGGTTTAATTTCAGCAGTGCGTCTTATGTGTACATTTTAGGAAGGACTTCTTATTTAGCATCGAAGAAGACAAAGCTCTGTAGAAATATGCCATCTTTATTTTGAATAAAAATGCAGAACATACTGTCTGACAGTGGAAAAATGGAACTGTCCCAGAGAATCTAGGATGCACGTTGTGCTGTAAGCATGAGGCTCTGGGGTCCTCCTGGGTGTGGAGGAGTCTGCTTGCATTCTTCTTGAATTCTCTAGTTCTCTAGTAACTTAATCCAGGCATCAGTATATTGTCTAGACTTTGGGTGTGTGCATTTCCTTCGGTGGAGATGGGAAATCTCCTTCCTTTGAAACAGTGAATGAATTGTTAGAGAAAGAGTTATAAGTGGGATTACTGGTGCAGCCAGACGCCCTTGACCCTCTGGTAGGATATCTTGTAAGTCAGTGTGCAGCATGGGCAAAGCAAAGGTTCTCCGGTTACCTGCGTTACTAACTTAAGCAAATCCTGCTGACAAGAGACCATGGCGTGTACAAAATCTTGTATTAGATGATATTGGAAATACCAAGCTGAATGGGGGAGTTTCTTGTCCATAAGGAGTTTGTACTTAGTTGGGGTTAGGCTTTGTCAGTCCACATCCAAGAGCCTGATTCACCCCTTACTGTGGAGACCTTCCCCTCCATCACTCTGCTCCCGCAACACTTGAGATCATGCCTTAGAATTTCGAGTTCTTTCTATAAGCCAGAAGCTACAAAAGTACTCCCCAGGGATTAAGCTGTAAGAGAGACGACATCTTTGCTTTTGTGCTTAATGCTGATGCCTAGTGTGGGTCCTTGACTCTGGTCCAGAGAACCCACAAAGCAGGTATCGTGCCTCTGCTTCTCCTCCCAGGGTTGGAGCCGGGCTTCACTTTACTCTGGGAGGCGACAGTCCTCACTCCTCTGCCTAGTAAATATTTGATCTGTGCATTTAATAAAGAAGGGTATTTTGTTTAAATACATTGGCCATTCTAAATGGCATAATGATATCAAGGGTGCAGTCAGAGAATTTCCAAGTTGTAAAATGCCTTCCTTTGTCTTCTGATATTTTATACACTGTTTGAAGTATTTAAAAAGCAGGAACAGAATGAACATATTCGATAAGATTACTTTAAGATCAGCGATGTCATAGTTCAGTTATGAGTCTTACACTTTGATTTGTTGGATGACGTACACGTGATTGCTCTAGGCGAGAAATATTCGTAGGTCACAGAATTTTTTTTAGGGTCCTTTTACATACTGCAGGACTAGTCTTAGGCTAGAATCATGAAGGTGGGGGATTTTTAAATTTCTGTTATCAGATTTTGCTTGCGTCCTTTTCTCATCCTTCTCCTCATGTCCTTTTCCAGGATCCACTGTCTTGCTTCCAAGTTATTTCTAATAAGGGATACATGGTTTATTCAATGAGTTATCTTTCCCCAGGGTGTTTGCATTTTAACAGACATAATACATTTGGCTAAACGAGGGGGATTAATTGTGCCATTGAGTTTAACCTGTAGCTGGCCACGCATCATGCACGGTGGACTCCAAGCAGACATAAATATTAAAATGAGAATCTATCCCATGTGTGGAATTTGTTGCAAAATGGCATTGCCATTTGCTCTTAACTGACGAACATCTACATCTTTAATTTATAGATTATGATTTCTACTTTTCTTTTACCCATTCTCCTTGTTTTCTGCAAATGTTCTGTGATTTCTGGGGCACAACTCAGTGGAGCAGAAGGAGTGTATGGGCTTTGGAGTATAACTTGGATTGATATCTAAGCTTCACAGTTACATGATCTTGGGCACATACTTCCTGAATCTCAGTTTCCTTACCTGTGAAGTGTGATTGTTAGGTTTGTTATGATGGAAAAATTATGTATAAACTACAGCACCATAAACTACAGTGTATAAAATTATAGGTCAACCATAAATGCAACATGAAGTAGCTATTATAATGAGTATAAATTCTAGGATTTTTACAGGGAAAAAAATTAAACAATCAAAAAAAAATTCTTTTACATAATAACAACTTTGTTAAAAAAATTATAGCAGGTGTCAATTATGCCCATAATAAATGAGCTGAGATCATGTCTTGATTGTAAGCAAACCAGATATCATTTATGGAAACTTATTATATTCATAGTCTCAAACATATAAATGAGGTATGAATATTCACATTGTAGTACATTTTTTTTTTTTAAGATTTATTTTTTTTTATTTATTTGACAGAGAGAGAGCTCACAAGTAGGCAGAGAGGCAGGCAGAGAGAGAGAGAGAGTGGCAGAAGCAGGCTCCATGCCGAGCAGAAAGCCTGATGCGGGGCTCGATCCCAGGACCCTGAGATCATGACCTGAGCCGAAGGCAGAGGCTTAACCCACTGAGCCACCCAGGCGCCCCCACATTGTAGTACATTTTTAAAAAAGAAAACCATTGATGGAACCCAGAGTTACCTAAGTATACTTGAGAAATGATCCGAGGTCTCAAAATTTCATACTTAATGAGATGGCTCAGGAATATATTTATTATGCAAGTTAATGTACAGCCTTCTGAGGTGGGGCACTTTATGTTATGTCCTCCTGTGTTCTCTTGTCACACAGGGTTCTACAATTCTATTTTTCACCCCACAGATTTACCAATAAAGAGCCAGAGTGAGTATGAGCTGGTGACTCCAGTCAGCACAAATTTTGAAGGACACTATCTCTCCCATATTCTTTCTGCAAATCACAAAAGGAGGTCACCGAGGGACGTGTCTTCCAACTCTGAGCAATTGTTCTTTAACATCACCGCATTTGGAAGAGATTTTCATCTGCGACTAAGGCCCAACACTCAGCTAGTCGCTCCTGGGGCTGTTGTGGAATGGCACGACACAGATCTGGTGCCCGAGAATATAACTGACCCCACTGATGATCATCAATCAGGAAATGCTTCAGAAAGAATCTGGAAAACAGAGCCTTTGCAGACTAACTGTGCTTATGTTGGTGACATCATGGACATTCCAGGAACCTCTGTTGCCATTAGCAACTGTGACGGTCTGGTAAGACTTACTCCCTTCTGTGTGTGTGTGTGTGTGTGTGTGTGTTTGCAGGTGTGTGGGAGTGCAGCATGGCTCCAGCATGGTTTGGAAGGTATAGGTGGAAAGGAAGCCTTACTCTATTTTAGGTTCAGGAAGGAGCTTGAGAAAGGACTTGACTGTCAAAGACGTGTGCTTTGGCTTCATTTTGCCACAAAGGCAGCATTATTCCAAGAAGCAAAAGATACCTATTTTAGCATTTTTTGCTTATGTTTTCACTTGTGTTACATTGGGGAATTTCATTTCCTTATATCTTTCAAAGCATTCTGAAAATTTTTAAAGAAATGTAGATTCCTCCAAAATGATAGTATTTCACTTCTTATGTGGAAACTTTGGATATCTTCTTAAAGTATTTTGAATGCATTCTTTCGCTTCCCCACAGAATGGTAAAATGGGAAATGAGCAGATCCTTTGTCAGGATTCGTTCAAATAGCATTACTTTACAAACACGAGATGTAGTTCCCTTTGCATTGTGGCTTTGAGTCAGTTTTTTCTTTAGTTTGAACTAAAATACCCATATATTGCTGTTCTGTTTTGTTGTCGAGGCCAGTAGCAACTGACCTTTCTCTACACACTCTGCAGATGTGAAATATTTTTATTTGTTTTGTCTCCCCAGATGTTACTTGAAAAGTGTGTCAATGTTTATGCATCTTCCATCCACAGTTGACTTTGTTCAAAAAAGCAACCATTTTTTTTCGATGGTTGCCAAGCTGCTGTTTCTTGGGAGTTCAGAGCTATTCCCTTTGTTTTGCCACTCTTCTGGGAGTTCTCAAATATTCCTTATGTTCCTGCTTATAATTACCCTACCTTAGCTGGTTCTACAACAATACCATGAGTTTTTTGCTATTGTTCTCTCCATGCATAGGCCCAACCCAGAGGTTGTATGGCACATATGTTTTACCAAATGTTGGTAAGGTCATTGTTTTAGGCTTTCTTTTTGCAGTCCTGTCCTGCCTCTTGATGTTCTGTAGGGTTTTAAAAGCCAGTGCAGAGGACATGCAGAAGAACATATGTAGGTCCCGGTGTTCAAGTTGGACTGCATTAGATTAGGTCTCTACACTCCGCGTTTGGTGCTAGACCATGTTCTAGGGTTTGAAGACATAAGGAATCACTCGAATTTTTCTCATTCTGTACAAAGGTTGAATAGAGGTGAATTAATTCAGTCATTGAATAGGAAATAAAAAAGAAAGCACTTTCTAGAAGATGAAGTTCAAAGTATTCATTGAGAGAGATTGATTCAGTACTCCTAAGATAGAAAAGAACATAAATCATACAAAAGGTACCACTTTATAATACTTTTAAGTAAAATACATTGAGTATAAAACTTAATCCAGTGTTACTTTTTGGTTTTAAAGCATAAAATATTAAGTACTTTTTATTTTCTCAGTTAAGATTTGAAATGTGGTATATTAGCTGGAAAATCAGTTTAAGGAAGATAAAAAGCAAGGAACTTATTTTAATGCATCATCACAGTGATTTTTACATGTCACTTAGCAACCAGTATTTTTTTTACTATACATGTGTAATTATCTAGTCATAGACATGAGAAATCTGGGCACATAACAAGTTGTTATAAGGAAGAGGAAAATAGATACAAAGTCTGAATGACTATTAATTATTAGGATTCTCTAATTTCTCATTTTTCAGATAACGGTGTTAGCATCACATGTAAATTGATATCGAGTGTGTGTGTGTGTGTGTGTTATACTACCACTGAACACTACAAGTATTCATTTGTTCCAGTCTTTGATCCATTATTTAGTTAATTAAACAGTGTTTGTAGGAGCCGGTAATGGGCCAAGTGCTATTCTAGGCTCTGAAATGGCAAAAGAAGTAGTGGTTACCATCTTCATGCAGCTCAAAGATGTTAAATTTGTCATGGGATTTAAGTGTCAAAATATCAGGCATATGTATGTGTGTATATATATGTTAGAAGCACATTTAACTTGGAAAATTGTAGCTTTTGAGAGAAATAAGTTCAGAGATATGAACAGGACAGAGTTTTGAACCAGAGATAATTGGCTGAGGCCTTCAGCTCAGTCCAGGGAAAGGTGGGTCTGGCCTGCAGAGAAGGCAGTGCTGCTCTGTGGGTATGTGGGGTGAAGCCATTTCTGGAGCTTCCAGCTCACAGCAGCCCTGTGCCTGGAGGAAGCAAGCGTGGTGATGACAACAGGAAGAACAGCAAGCAGGGCTATGGGGAGCGAATCCACAAACCCCAGGGATAACACTAGGACCACTTCATTAAGCTGGGAACAAGTTCTTAAAATTGCAGAATCGCTTTGCCTGGGATAAGCCCTTAGCAGAGATGAAATAGGAAGTTTAATTGTAGGGAATGGAAATTAACTTGGCTGGTTGCTGCTTCCTAAACCCTTTTTTCTCTGTAACTGACTATATAGGGATTTAACCTTAACCTTCTTGACCTTAGAAAGGTCTTAAAAAAGATTTTTTTTTTAAATTTGTTTGATAGAGAGTGAGCACAAGCAGGGGGAGGGGAGAGGGAGAGGGAGAAGCAGGCTCCCCGCTGAGAAGGGATCCTGAGTCGGGATCTCTGGATCACAGGACCTTGGGATTATGACCTGAGCCAAAGGCAGACACTTAACTGACTGAGCCACCCAGGTGCCCCAGTTTTATAATTTTTAAAATGAATGAATGAGTGAATAAATGAATGAATTTAAAGATTTATTTATTTGCGAGAGAGAGAGAGAGAAAGAGAGAGAAAGAGGAGAGAGTACATGCAAGCAGGGGTGGGGGAAGGAGAGGGAGAGAGAGGAAAATCCTTAAGCAGACTTCCTGTTGAGCAGGGATACTGACACAGGGCTCGATCCCAGGACCCTGAGATCATGACCTGAGCCAAAATCAAGAGCTGGACGCTTAACCGAGTCACCCAGGTACCCTCGTTTTATTTTTCTTCTTATTCTTCTTCTTCTTTTTTAGAAGACTTTGTTTGGGAGAGAGGGAGAGAGAGCATGAGCTGGGGGAGGAGCCTAGGGGGAGGGACAAGCCGACTCCCTGTTGAGTGTGGAGCCTGCGGGGTGTGGGGCTTGATTTCAGGAGTTTGAGATCAGGGCCCAAGTTGAAACCAAGAGTCAGAGAAGAGTTGGCTTAACCAACGGTGCCACCCAGGCACCCTTCTGGTAATTAATTTCTGTTGTATTTTACAAAATAGTCCAAGACCAATTGGGGGAAAAGAAAACATTTTCTTCACCACAGATAATTTGAAAAGCAACGACACCTAAGTTGTCTTTACCTCTCTGGAATCAGACACTTGACTGAACTAGTAAGGTAAAGTCCACCTGTCCCAGGTGACTGTATGAAATGGCCAAAGGAAAGGTGCTTTAATAAAGGCCTGATTGAAGAGGACCTAAGATGCCTTGAGTGACATGTCAGAAGCCAATGTCTAGAATATGATCTGGACATTGATATGCATCATAACTAAATTATTCTCTGGGTTTCTGAAATCAACATCTGAGTCTTCCCGAAACCCAGTGTGGCCAAAAATAACTAATATGTTGCTGTCTAGTGTGACCTTTTCCTGTTCTCTGCAAGATGATCATTTATGAGTGACTGCTAATTCTTTCCCATTTTCAGCTCTATTCTTGCTTTAGTCTATCCTACCTCTAGGTAAGAACTACAGAGGTGTTCAGGCATTGAATCGACCCTGCTTTCCGATAGCATCCAATCTAGAACAAAGCCCAGCTTCTCTGGACCTTCCCCCAAATTACCCAGCTGAAGTCCAAGTCCCGTGAATAGGTTCTTTCTCATGCTTTTTTTTTACTGAGATGCTGATGCTTCCCTCTGGTGTGCATTCTCCCTCTGTGCAACATGGAGTAAACCCAGCTCGTCCACAGCAGATGTGCTGCAGGTGGTCTTCGGCTGGAGGGTGTAGACATGCTTTACCTCTCTGCTTCGACATTTCTGAAATTTCACACGCTTCTTAATGGGAAGACACTTCTGGCTGAGAATCCCAGCTGAAAATAGTTTTCTGTATTCCACAGAACCCTGGCATTTACTCTGTAACACCATTAAATCTCCCCTGCGAGCAGTGGCAGCTCACAATCATAGTTCGTGGTCTACAAATGTGCCAAAATAAAGGGTTGTTTGGTTAGTAGGCTTTATTTCATGTATTTCATAACGTAAGGAAACTGAATTTCTCTGGACTTGCTGGAACAATATTGCTCTGTTAATTGCCCTGGATTAGCATCAGAGGGAATTGGTAGGGAGTAGAAGAGCTAACTGCTAATGGCTTTCCTGGGTTATCCACCTCAGTGATTTCCTTTTGGGCTGATTTTATGATCAAGGGAGTCTATCTAGGACAGAAATTTTCAGCATTTTTTTTTTAACATTTGGAATTCTTCCTTCAGATGAAATCACTAGGGGTTACCAAATAAAGTAGTATACGACATGGATAAATTTAGGAAGGGCCTGCCTACAACACAGGTGGGAGAGGCTCTTTCTCCTGAAGTCTCTTCTTCCTGTCCCATTATCACTTTAGACCAACTTTTAGGCTCCCCGAGGCCTCTGTCAGAGTTCCTCACTGTTAGGGCAAGGGGTCTTGGAAGCTTGAGCTGAACAATTTGGAAACGACAAATAGCACCTCTTTTTTGAAATATCTGATGATCACATCTGGTTAATATGGGAGGTATTTTATCTTTCTTAGATTTGGAGCATGGCCCAATGAAGTCTTGGAGGATAATTGCAAACCTATAAAGGCAACAGCCTTAGGATTCCCCTGCCTTGAGACTTTTTTGCTTTGGGATTTGGGCCCCTCAACAGCATGTTCTCGCCATGCCTATTTCTGTAAGCCTAGCTGCAGAGGCAGTTTTAAAAAGTCTGTCTAAAAAGTATTATGAGCCAGTGTGCCTGGGATTAAGAACGTTTGACCTGTGATTGTAAATACAGCTCAATCTAGTGAAAGAAATGTTTGATACTAAAAATGGATACAAGTCTGCAGCTATATAGTGGAT